CAATGCATTCGTTTTTCTGATGAACAAAGAGAAGAAGACGAAGAAGAGAAACAATGAAACTGATGCTGAAACCAAAGAACGGCTACGAAATATATTACGCCACTGCGATCGCGAAGTAAGCTTTGATGTTGGCGACCGTGAAATCATTGCTGGCCAAATTATCGATCGAGAGAAAGATGATACGGGCGCTGTGAAAGTGAAAAGCGTACGCAATTTTAAAATATCCAGCAAGCAATATCATTGGATGACGAAATTGCCACAGTTCAAGAAACAACGAGATCGACTGGTTGGTACGCTCGAAGACGACAGAGCCGACGATCGTGAGCGCATCGAACGAGAGTGTGTGAACCATGTTTAGCCGAGCAGTAGGACGAACGATTTTGAAACATACGCCGACCAAACGTTAAGATTTTTCAATCGGGCCATGGATGTTTACGGCAGCGAAGCGTATGTACTAACTAATTTTTTGCATTGGATTGAAATCCATCGAACCATTGGTGAATTGGTGCGAATGATTGTTTGTCGCCGTTCACCCATGTAAATTCACCATGCAAAGGTTATGTACGTACAAGTGTTCGTTTGCTATTCAAAGCACTCGAACAACATCCACAATGTACCGTGCGCTACGTGGATGAATATCGAACAACAAAATTATGTAGCCGTTGCTTCAATGTACTGGAAAATGGTTCGAAGAATGACCGAAAGACAACGAAATCTCGGTTCAAAGTGTGTCGCCAATGTAAACCATCGCCAGAAGCACTGCCCGATGGTGGTTCATTCATTTACAGTCACAAGAGTTCGAAACAATTGAAGAAGCAGAAAAAATATCGACCACGGAATTCGGACGACGATGGCGGCCATCCAAAAGTCGAACTGAAACGCTTCAATATGGTCGATGGAATGCTTGTGCCGGCTGCTGAAAATGCGATATTATCAGTGAAGAGGCCACGAACACATTTGCAACGTCGGCGTCTAGATGTCATCGCATGGAAATACATACGAAATGATGATGATATTGGTGATACGACAAAATTCCGTTCGGTTACATTGAATCGAGACACTAATGCCGGTCGAAATATTCGACTTCGCGGTATGTTTACAGTGAATCATTTATTTATTTACTTAGAATCTAATATTCAATTTTCTTCTTTCATGTATTTAGGTCATCATGAACTGTTGGGAATAAAATTGCCAGATGCATTTACAGTCGATGCCGAGACACAAAACCAACATGCAGAGCGACGCTTCGAAGAATTTGATGAAAATAAGCGTAAAAAGCAACAAAAGGTAATAATATATTGTGTGCGATTGCATTATTTGTTGAATACAATTTTCGAATTCATGTGATTAGTGTAAAATGTGTGTTTGTTATTTACATTTCAGTATCAAACATCAAAAAATTCCAATGAAGCTGAATACGATTCGGATCAGTCATGGTAGTCGTCAAGCAGCGAAGAAGATGCAATCGATTTGAGCAACAGTGAATTGTCAGACAACAGTGATGATAGTAATGATAGCGGTAGCGGTAGCGACGACAATGGCGAAAACTGAGAATAGCATCGTTCACACACTGCACATCGCTCATTCAACAAATCAACAATCAATGAATCAAACAAATAAATGAAAAATTAAATTTAGTTTAATTTAAGGAACAATGTTAATAGTTCTTATCATGAAGTCTGGCTATATTTAGCGTGGACTTCCGTATTATCTAACCTATCATCTTATGGAAATTACAATTGAATAAATAAATGGGAAAAATAATCCTTTTAACAAATTTACACAAATTCACAAATACCTTGCACTAAAATCTCCTTTCGTTCACGTAATCGAATCCGTTTCATTTGTATATTGTCTTTCAGTAGTTGTTTACTTTTTTCGAGATTGTAATTTAAATTACTTCGATCAGTATTTGTATAAAAACGCCTCTGATCGATCAATAATGGGAGAACGTAATTTGAGGGAAATAAACTTGAAACATCTCTTAAACGTGTACATATTATACATTTTTTGTAATCAACAATATTCAAACGACTTGAGAGTTTATGGGAAATATGAGCAATGAAGAGTTTTTTATTATTTGACGCAATTTTTTTCAGTGATGTTCGGAAAGATGCAAACATTTTGATACTTCTTTAAAATAAAAACTGAAATAAAAATAAATACGTTTGATAGCATGATGTTGACAGGTTGACGAGCACATGAAAAGCAATGATTTGAATCAAGTTCGTCCGGTGAAAAATGGAACTACAATACATATGAATAGTCCAATTTTACAAAATAAATCTTGAAAACAAAATAGATATTGGAATATTATAGCATTATTATAAAATTTATTTTTTATATTTATTATATTTATGTAATAAAAATAAAACATAGTGAATGGTGAGTCAAACACATTGATTTAAAAACCATGAAATGTCAAATATGTATTCATGGGTATGTGAACGACACCTTCTGCTTATTCACTCTTTGGCATTCGAAAATAAAGTGTCCGCCATTGTTATATGTGTTTCTGTTTGATTTGTGCGTCTCTTCATCAAAAATAAAATTATTATTACGATAAAATCATATTTTTTTTTACTTTTTAAACAAAGTTTGAAGAAAGTGTTGTTAATATCGTTTCCTTTTTCTTTGATGTTTATCTACATTTTACAAATTATTCAATTCAATAGTTTCAGTTTATAATTCATATTTCACCAAATGATTTATGTCAAAAAATTACTAAATTCTTTAGTTTGATTTTTTAAATAAATAAACAATTTTAAAACGATAAAGCAAGAAATTGCAGTGAATGAATGAAAAATTGATAGAAAATTACAACAAATTGCCTATTTAATTATAACTATAAACTATTGAAGTAAAAAAGTGAAATTATTCATACAGGAATCAACAATCTTGACGTATGTCTAAGTCATTATTAGAAGATCGATGTTCATAAGCATACACGGATCTGTATTTAGAACTTGGAAGCGCTTTGCAACAATCGTCACGAATTTTTGTTATAGTACATTGAATACAAATCCTGCCATTGAGGTTGGTTTCATTCGTAAAACATATTTTGTTTTTATATAACTTAATTAATTTTTTCATAAGTGATAATGATATATGCAATTAATATTGAAGAAAAATAAAGGTTTGTTTTGAAACAGTTTCTTATCATAATTGGTCAAACTGAAAATTCTAGGGGTTAAAACGCGGAGGTGGTCAAAAACTCTAGCAAAATGAGAGAAATTCTATCCTAAATAGTGAATTCTATGCTTCAGGGAGGGGTAATTTCCCCCTTCACCCCCTGTATGTCCAACTTTGATTCCTAAAATTAATCTATATATATTCAATATGGCCGTATTATTTATCAATAAAATAGAAATATAAATAAGTTTTAATAAATATTTCCGAAATTGTCTGTTATGTATAATTGTCTGTTATGTTTACTCATTCATGAAATTTCGGAAACATGTTAAAGATGATGATGAGTTAACGATATAAACACAAAATCTTCTAATTTTCAAAGTTGAATGTAAAATACAATCTAACAAAACCAAAAGTAGATATCATCTTTCGTTTCAATGTAAATGTGTAATATAGATTGAAGTAAAAAAGAATCTATGTACCAATGAATCGGTTAGAATATTCGTGAGCTCAATAAATGTGTTAAAGTAAAAGAGCAACATGTTCATATAAAAAATGTATATTAATATGTTTTGACAAATTTCTTGAGGTCACGAGTATTCTAACCGGTTCAAATGAATAATTTTATTTTAAAATATGTATTAATTTTGCAGATGCCACGTTCAAGAAGACGTCATAGAGAGTCTAGGTCACAGTCTAGGTCATCAATGTACAGATTGGAGAAACGACGAAGAGTTGAAACTGAAGACAGTCTAAGAAAATCTGCAGGAAGGTGAAAAAACTTTCAATTTTCTAGGGTGATGCATTTTTGATTAAGTCATGGTTAAAATTGGTTGTGCGTTTTAGCGCAAAAATTGGGAAAAGTGTGGTGGGAAACTTAACCCTTTCGAGCTGCTTTCAAGATCATCAAAAGTTGAATTGAATGCGACAAACATCATCTTTTTAAATTTATATAATTCAAAGTTTAATATTTTCACGTTTCTTCGAAATATTGACTCTTTCTTGTGAATGCAATCTAATGCACTGGTTTTTACAATGAGCGCTAATATCGTCGATTTTTCTTTATCGATTCCACCAATACGACATCTACTAAAAAACTCGTCGATTTCTGTTACTAGTGGTGTTTTAATACATCTCGTGTAAACGTACAAATGAACACACTGACTCCAATTCTGTGTATGCGTATGTATTACAAATTCTGCACTCAGTCTTCAATCGTAGCTGCTTGTGCAAAATTTACAATACATACGCATACACAGGATCGGAGTCTGTGTGTTCTTTTGTATTAGTTCGTCTGTAATACAGCCATAGCCGTATAGTTCGCTCGAGCTGTGTCAAAGCAACAGTAGTAACAAAAATCGGTATCTTTTTTAACAGATGTCGTATTCGTAGAATCGATAAAATTAATTTGTATGGAGAATATACGATACTAGTTCCCATCGGGTTTTTAACATTTTGTTAATTAATTTAAATGAACTAAACAGATTGAATAGGAATTACAACTGACTGTCACAAACGTATAAATACAACAATGTGCCCAGTTACCGGACAGCTCATCGGACATTTGCTTTGTATTTAAAAAAAAAAAAACGAATTTATACTCGAATATTCTTAAAATTATATACAGGGTGGGCCAGAATAAGTGTCGCTTTTTTGTACCTACGTAATTTCAACTACAATGCTTTCCGATCACCCTTTGGTTCACCGTTATATTTATTCATGTTTGTGCAATCCACTGTGACGATGCACAGTAATGCGCAGTTCTTGTTTACTTTACAATTGCAATGGATGTGAAACGTCAACTAGTTTTGAATTTGCACAAAAAAGGTTTGCGACAAGTTGATATTTTTCGGAAGCTTCAGAGCGACAGTATCAATTTGAGATTTATTCAGCGCACCATAAAACGATACAAGGAACATGGAACAGTCGATGTGAAGCGAAAACCGGTCAGAAAAAAATCCGTGAGAACAAAAGATCTGGTCAAAAAGGTACGAAACAAAATTCGTCGAAATAACAAAAGAAGCGCTAGAATCTTGGCTCGTGAGCACAATATCAGTCGATCTTCAATGCGAAGAGTGTTGAAAGAAGATTTGGGAGTTAAATCATTTAAAAAAATCGAAAACACGGCTTGACAATCAAAAATAAGCAAGATAGAAAGCAAAAATGCAAAGAACTGCTACGCCGGCGCGCAACCTCAAACATTGTTTTTTAGACGAAAAGTTGTTCCTTTTGCAGCCAAGTCTCAATGCGCAAAATGATCGCGTGTATGCAGCGTCAATTGAGGACATTCGTGAAGATGATTTAGTCGTTTAACGATTTCCAAATGTGTCGAGTGTCATGGTTTGGGCCGCCGTTTCGGCCGGCCATAAATTTCCCCTTGTTTTCGTTGAAAAAGGCGTTAAAATTAACGCAGCTGTGTATGAAGAAGAAATATTGCGCAAAAACTTGTTGCCACATGCCGAAGCTGTGTTTGGTGATGAACCGTGGGTGTTTCAGCAAGATGGGCACCGGCACATCGAGCAAACAAAGTGCAACAGTGGTTAAGAGAAAATGTGCCTGATTTTTTGAACAAAGATGAGTGGCCGCCATCGTCTCCAGACCTAAATCCGTTGGATTATTTTGTGTGGGGCTACATGCAATCGAAGTTAAATGATCTGAAGATTAAGAAAAATACAAAATTGGATGCATTCAAAAAGAAAATCGTCAAGATTTGGAACGATATTCCCATCGAAATGGTGCGCGCCGCGTGTAAATCGTTTTTACGACGTTTGCATTTGGTGGTCCGTGCAAATGGAGGAGGAATCAAAACCAAAACATGAATCTAAAATTTTGGACCCTCTTCTAAATTTCAATTAAGTTTTTGTTCAATTTTAGTAAAAAACAATACGTTTTTTGAGCATATATAAAAGCGACACTTATTCTGGCCCACTCTGTATATCAAAAGAAAGCTCATAGTTTTTTCGATTAGAGGGCATTGAAAGTTATTTTTTGCATTACAAAAGAATATCCTTTTTTTATCATTAACTTCAGCATCATTGAATTTTTTCTGTCATTTGCGCTTAAAAACGAACGTCAGTCACATGAGTTGCTCTATACAAGTTTGTAGAAAAACATATCTCAAACTATACGCATTAGTGTGAAACTTCACATTTAAAGTAATTAAATATCGTAGATTTAATTTTAATTGTTATATAAAATCAATTTTATAAATTTTCAACCTTTTTTACCTGTTCGAGATAAAGTGTCTTATTTATGGTATTTGCCCATTTATCGGACAGGTAGAACAGTTCAAGTGAACATTCAAATAGATTTTTTTAAAATTATTTCAATTTTTTATGCAGCAGTAATTATATATTTTTGAAGCGATGATTCTGAATTTTTTGAAAAATATTAACAATTTATCGAATTAATTTTTTTTAAAGCGTTTAATTTTACATTTTTTCCAATGTCCGATATCTGGTACATTTTCATACAAAATCGTAATGCCCAATTATCGGACACGATATACGCTGTTGTGTTGAAGAGTTCTTCAAACAGAAAGGATTTTTCCAAAAAGTGAAATGTTTACTTCAATAATAAAATTGTATTTTAATTTCAAAATATTTTTATTCAGTGAAGTTTTCTGATTATTTTTATATAATAATAATATTAACCACACCGTACAGCGATCCTTCGCCTGGTGCTTCTTTTATTTAAATAAATGGTTGAACAATTTATAATAAATAATTATTCAAAAATAACTTTTTGGTAAATTTTCAAAAAATTTAAGAATTGATAATTTGAAGTAAAAATATACAATTGATTATCTAAAATTCATTTTTTTCTATTATGTTTTATATAATCTTCAATTGCACGCTGACTTGTTTCCGTTTTTTTATAAATAAAATGAATAAAATAAAGGCTTTGTGGAATATATAGAAATATTTTGAGAGAGAAATGAATAACATAGCGATCTACGAAAAGAGTAATAAGAAATATAACATATTTTTTTCTCTAAAATAGTTCAAATTCAAACAAGCTTCTTAGGTGTCCGGTAACTGGGCACATTACGTTATGAATTTCGAAATTCGCTTAACTTGTCGGATTAGTTTTTCTGTGAGTTGACTAAACTTCACAATGATAAAAAAGAGTGATAATTGCAAAGCAAATTATTTATTTTTACCACTCTTTTTTTTGTTAGAATTATAACAAACTCGTTAATTTATTTCTTTCCATTTTTTTCTCTTTGAAAATTGGTTCGAATTGATATTATTATTTAGAATAGACCAAATTGAAAGATATTCGTATCAAAACGAATAGATTTAGTGTTGTACTTATCTGTTAAGTATTAAAGCATTAAACAAAAGAAAAATTTGGATCACCGATAAATTGAGTAAATACTATTATATATTTCAGTTTCGAAATATCAACCCGACGAAAACAATCAGATCGTACGAAACGCTCACATCACCGTAGGAGTCCAACATCTACGCGACATGGCTATCGGCAACGTCACAGGGAAAATAGAGAAGAAAGGACACACAGTACTACACGACGGAAATATCGTGACCGTACAATTAAGGACAGGAGTCCTGTAAAGGTAAAAACAAACCAACTTATATAATTTTATTTATGTAGTAAATTTTACTTCACAAAAGATATTAAACATTCAGATAAATTTTGTTTTATCTAAATTTACTTTAACAAATTAATGCAAAAATATTTTCTTTGTCATTGAATTAAAACATTAAAATCAAACAATTCAATTGTATAGATATTAAGTTGTCGACAAGAAAGGTGCATGTCAATGTTCTTAAACTCAGAGCCTATTTTGGCAGAAGTGTTCAGACAAAATTTATGTAACATCCACAAATTGTTATGGATTGAAATATTTATTTTCATTCAGTTTATAATTTTATAAAATACAACAAATATTCTCCAATAATTTAATCGATCATTAATTCAAAATATTCAGTATCAAGTATCTTCAATATAGTGTGCAATGGCATCTCGTTTTTGTACTTTTTGGAAATATCAACTTTCCTAGGAGGATTTCAGAATCGACACAAATAAACACTACATTAATTTTAATCACTTATTTTTCATTACGGATATTTTAAATATTATGATTCAGTCGGTTTAAAGTTATTAGTGAGATGGGTTGTATTTTTTTTGCTTGTGTAAGGTAATTCTTGACATTGTTCACACGCAAGATGAAAAGATTAAAAGAAATACGCCGGTCAAATTTGTGAGATGATAGATGAACGATCTGTGTTTTTCGATACATTTCTAAGGAAAATAAAATATTAGAACAAACAATAAATAACGATCCAAAATTGAGCACGTAAAAATTGTAAACATTATAAAACATAGCGAAGAATTTTCACTAAAATGTTGAGAAAAAATAGTTTTTCAAGGCATTTCGTGAGACTTTTTTTTTTAAAACAACAACAACAACTGTAATTAAAACTAAAAATTTAAGAGAAAAGATCTTTTATACTTAAATCAGTGTTTTGTGACGTTTTTTTATGAAGCTCTTAAACTGATTCTTTGTACGAAAAACAATTGCGGCGAGGATATGTGATCTTCTGACGTGATCAGGCGTTTTTTTGCGAAATTTAGGAAAATTTGGATTTTTTCACATTTTTGTGTAAGGTATAGAATCACAGCGGACGGCAGTTCGCGCGAGTGACGAAACCACATTAGTGTGTTGAAAAGTCGACTTTACTATATATACACGTAATTTCCAAATTCTAACCTGGAAGGCCTTTAGCCGCAACTGGTGTATGATTGGAAAGCTCTTGGGCATAGATCAAGAAAAAATATCAAAGTTCGAAAATCGGCCCACTCCTCTTCAAAATATGGTCCTTTCAAGAAAAGGGTCAAAATTCAGTTTTATGGCCATAGATGGCACTAAATGAGGTCGTTGACACCTGAAACATCGGTATTCTGATTCTATGGCTCAATACCTTTCGAACGATACCTCAAACGTCGAAATCGATCAATCCGTTCGAAAAAATTATTATTTTAAAAATTTCATATGATTTTCCTATAAAAGTCATTTGGTTTGTGTGTCTGTGTGTGCGCGATTTTGCGTACTCAATTCTGATCTTTTTGAAACTAAGACTTTTTTGTTCCGGAACTTTTCGTTTTGGCCACCGAAGCATATCCACTTGACACACCCGGACATATGCACATCGATGGAAAGGTCTTGAAGTGAGCTATCCAATGATGCCATGTGCGTTCCAAAAATTTCAAGTTGGAGTGGCCTTATTGGCCAAAAATCAAAAAGTAACCGTTCGGCCGGACACATAACGGCCATTATCTCGAAAACTATCCCAACTTGGCCCATTGAAAATTTCACCGATTTTAGGCCCAAGTCTGAACTTAAAAACGCCGCATGGCTTATATCCCAGAAAATTCTTATTTTCTACATATGGCCTTCGATAGTGCAAAACTGGCCAAAAATGGCAATTTTTTCAAACAATCGCACATGTATTTGTATATTCGGAACGTTGCATTGCGTCATCAGGCTATACTAACAGTAAAAAGAGAGGCATTTCTTCAACGTTTTGAATTTTCAATTGTATATTAAGTTTTTATTCACAGTACACAGAAAAATTATCTATCATTTATTTTCGTCACAAAATTGATATCAGAAATTTTGTGTTTCACATTTTAATAATAATAATAATAACTGCACCGAACAGCGTTCCTTCGTCTTGGTGGTTTATTGAAAATAACTTAATCAAATATATACAATATAATACAATTTGATTTTTATCAAGCATTTTTGAGAGAGAAAAT